CGCGCGGCTCCTCCGGCGCCGCCGCCACCGAGCGGCCGCGGCCGCGCACTGCGCAGGAGCGGAAGTGCCGCCCCTCGCCGGCCCGGCCGAGCGGGCGCCGCCATGACACCGTACAAAGAAAGGGGCGTGGTCAGCCCCGCCGACCAATCGCAGCGCGCCGCCTCATCCGGGGACCCGCGCCGCCGAGCCGGGCGCCGCCATCTTAACGTGAGGCGCGGCCCGGGACCCCGCCCATTTAACCCTGACGGCGCCGCGCTCGTTCCCGGGCGGTTTGCGGCGCTCCCGGGGCAGCGCGGGGCGGGAGAGCGGCCGCCGGGGCCCCGCCATTGCCGGGTCGGCCGGGGAGGAGGAGCCGCGCAGGCGCGGCGGTGGAGCACAAGATGGCGGCGGTTACGGTGGCCGCGAAGCGCCCCGCCCGGCAAAGCGAACGCGCGGCAAGATGGCGGCCGGCAGGATGCCGTACGGGCTCGGCCAATCAGCGCGCGGAATTCTCAGAGCAGCGCGCCGCCATAGCGATAAAACACGTGACAACGACAGCCAATCAGCTCCGTGGAAATGCGAATGTTTATTGGTCGTTGGGTTAAAAAGGCGGGAAAGGGGGAGTGCGTCACTTCCGGTTGGCCTGGGCTGTGCCGATCATGCACTCGTTCACCTGGGGGAGGGGCGGCCCCAAAAATCACCCCAAAATCAGCCAAAAATCACCCAAAAATTACCCCAAAATCAGCCCCAAAATCAGCCAAAAAAACCTTCCCAAAATCAGCCCAAAAATCAGCCGAAAATCACCCAAAAAAACCCAAAATCACCCAAAAAAGACCCCAAAAGCCCCAAAATCATCCCAAAACCACACCCACATCCCCAAATTAGCCAAAATAATCCAAAAATCTCCCCAAAATCATCCCAAAAAATCCTGAAATCAGCCCCAGACCCCCAAAATCATCCCAAAAGCCCCAAAATCATCCAAAACCCCCCCAACCCCCCCAAAAACCACTAAAAGTCCCCCAAACCCCAAAATCAGCCCAGAAAACCCAAAATCAGCCCTGGACACCCCAAAAACATCAAAGTCACCCCAAAAGTATCCCCGGGATCCCCAAAATCAGCCAAAGAAATCCAAAAATCACCCAAAAATCACCCCAAAAATCCCAAAATCAGCCCCAAAACCACCCCAAAATCCCAAAATCCGCCCAAAAAATCCAAAAATCACCCCCAAATCACCCCCAAATCAGCCCAAAAATCCCAACTAACCCTACAAGACCCCTGGGAACCCCAAAAAACCCCAAATCACGAAAAAAAAAACCCCAAAAAACCCCAAGTAGCCCAAAAAAACCCAAATCCCCCCAAGCCACCCTGGGAACCCCAAAATGAGCCCAAAACGGCTCCGGGAGGCCAAAATCTGCCCAAAATCCCCAAAATGCCCCGGGAAGGCCCAGAAACGCAGCCAGGACACCCAAAAACCCCAAAAAACCCCAAATCACCCCAAAATCCCAAAGAAGCCCTGAATCACCAAAAAGCCCCAAATCACAAAAAAATAAAATCCCAAATTACCCCCAAAAAAAACCCAAAACACAAAAAACAGCCCAAAAAACCCCAAAGCACAAAAAAACCACCCCCAAGTTACCCAAAAAAACCCCAAAAAATCCAAAAAACCCCAAGCCCCCCCAAAATCTCAATTCACCAAAAAAAAAACCTCCAAAAAAACCCAAATCACAAAAAAACCCTCCCCAAATTACCCAAAAACACCCCAGAAACACCCCAAAAACCCCAAATCACCCCCAAAACCCCCAAATTACCTAAAAATGCCCCAAAAAACCCCCCAAAAAACCCAAAATGCCATTAATCACTAAAAAACCCACCCCCAAATGACCCAAAAACACCCAGAAAAACCCCAAATCACCGAAAAACCCCCAAAAAACCCCAAGTAGCCCAAAAATCTCAATTCACCAAAAAAAAAACCTCCAAAAAAACCCAAATCACAAAAAAACCCCTCCCCAAATTACCCAAAAACGCCTCAAAAAACCAAAAAAAAAACAAATCACCCAAAAAACCCCAAAAAAACCCTCCCCAAATTACCCAAAAATGCCCCAAAAAATCCAAAAAAACCCAAAATGCCCCAAAAAATCCTATAAAAACCCAC